TTTGGGGCAAATTTCTCGGTAATGAAAACAGATATCAAAAATTCAAATAGTAACTTTGTGCCCACACTCAAGCTGAGTAGAATGAGCTATGTCTGAAGTGTTTTATCCCAAATTTGTAGGAGGAGATACATTTGGCGCGAAGCTATGCAAAAACCAGACCAAAAATTTTTTTCAGATTTTTCCTTATAACTAGGGTGAAGGTGTGACCTACCTGCTAAGTTTGAAAGAAATCGGCCAAGCCAAAAAAATCACAGAAGAAATCATACGTGAATACACTGGAAATGTACACACACAGACACACACACACACAAAACGACAAAAGTGATTATAAGGGCAATCCTAGCTGAGCGGATCGCCAAAAACTGTAACACAACACTACAAATCTTTGTTTGCTTTTCGCACAACCTAACTTGCCCAAGCACAGGATAAACCATCGGCATTAATGTTATCTATGCCTTTACGATGTACAATATCGAAAGAGTATTCTTGTAATATCAGACTCCATTGTAATAACCTCTGATTCTTATCCTTCATGAGTCCTAACCAACGTAATGTTTGGTGGTCAGTTTGAACAGTAAAATGCCTACCAAACACATAATGATGTAATACTTGTATGGCCCAAACAATACCTAAACACTCTCGCTCTATAGTGGAATAGTTTATCTCCCTTGGAACCAGCTTTCTACTTAGATAAGCTATAGGATGTATTTGGCCATCATTATTCACCTGGCTAAGCACAGCACCAAGTCCTGTGTTGCTTGCATTTACTTGGATGATGAATGGTTCACTAAAGTCTGGATTTTGTAGTACTGGGTAGGTCGTCAACGCTCGTTTGAGTCCAATGTACTTTCATGGGTACTCCTTTCTTTGTTAGGTCTGTCAAGGGGATCACAATATCTGAAAACTCGGGTATAAATCGCCTGTAATACCCTACCAGACCAATGTATGATCGAACATCGGTTTTTGTGACAGGTTGCGGAAAATCTTCAACAGCTTGTATCTTACTTTGTTGAGGTTTTACGTTTCCACCTCCAACAATATGGCCCAGAATTGCGATTTCAGGAACGTATT